TACCGTTAAGAGGTTTTGATGCTTTGCCTCTGATGATTTTGCACGTCTTAGTATTGTGAAAGGCTAAATAATAGAGCTTTGCATTGCATCACCAACTAAACAGGACGGGATGACAGCTCCAATGGGGCCATCACTCAGCTACACTATCCCCTGGTGACTAACTTTTACTCCAAGTCTCTAAAGCATATTTTCAATATAAGTACAGTATTCCTTAAATATTACCCGCACACATATCTTGCAATGATTATAAATCTTGACAAGTTACAAGCCTTCTGTAGTTACCTAACATGTTTTGCTTTATGGATAAATATTCTGCAAGATGTGCTTGGTGTAGTGAGTTTGTCAGGTCTGAGGTGAGAGTTGTTTGCTAAGAAAAGGGGACTCTTTGCCAAGGGGGTCTCTGTGCCACAGTATTCCCTTCTTTTCATTTTCAGGGTCAATTTTTTGCTCTACATTACTCTTTTTTTCTCCTTGATTCTGGGGTCTCCTATCTTTTCTGGCTTCTAAGCCCTTTTCCCTTGTTGTGTTTAAGGCTCCTCTGTCTCTGTCTTTCATGATCTTTCCACTGTACCTACTGATATGGTCACTTACCTACCTACAATGCATCCTGAGGCTGCTCACTTAATCAGTTGTACTTTTCATTTTGTCACTGGTCTTTGCTACTGCTCCTGCCACCACCCCTCATCTGAGTTCATTCACTTGCATTTTCTATTTCCGTCCATCTTGTTTGCCTACCCACTAAGGCTACGTCTACACTGCAGTCGGAGGTGTGACTGCCGCATGGGCAGACATACCTGAGCTAGCTTTGATCTGAATAACGTGGGCAGCAGTACAAGCTGTACAAACCCGCTCAGGATCCTGGGATGTACTTGAGTGGCTAGCCCATGCTGCTGCGGCTTCGCTGCTATTGTTATTCAAGCTAGGCCAGAATGTCTACTTGTACTGCAGTCAGACTTCAGACTGTAGCACAAGTCTTAGGAAACATCTTCACTGTGATAAAAGACCCATAGGACAGACATGGCTAGCCCAGGTCAGCTGTCTCAGGCTGGGGCTGTGGGGCCATAAAATTGCAGTGTAGATGTTTTGGCTGGGGTTGGAACCCTGGCTCTGGGACTCTTCCCCCTTGGCAGGTCTGAGATCTGTGCTCCAGCCCAGGCCTGAATGTTCATACTACAATTTGATAGCCCATCAGCCTGAGCCCTGTGAGCCCAAGTCAGCTCAGCCAGGCCAACTGTGAGTCTTTTATTGCAGTGTTGACATATCCTAAGAGTCTAATCCAAAATCCATTGAACTCAGCGAGAGTCTTTCCACTGGCTTCATTGGGCTTTGAATCAGTCCCTACTTTCTAAAGGATTAGGCCTAATCATAGAGTCATAGAATATTAGGGTTGGAAGAGACTCAGGAAGTCATCTAGTCCAATCCCCTGCTCAAAGCAGAACCAACACCAACTAAATCATCCCAGCCAAGTCTTTGTAAAGCCAGGCCTTAAAAACCTCTAAGGATGGAGATTCTACCACCTCCCTAGATAACTCATTCCAGTGCTTCACTACCCCCTAGCGAAATAGTGTTTCCTAATATCCAACCTAGACCTCCCGCACTGCAACTTGAGACCATTGCTCCTTGTTCTGTCATCTGGTACCACTGAGAACAGCCTAGCTCCATCCTCTTTGGAACCTCCCTTCAGGTAGTTGAAGGCTGCTATCAAATCCTCTGTCACTCTTCCTCTCTGCAGACTAAATAGCCCCAGTTCCCTCAGCCTCTTCAGGGTTGTGAGTTCAATCCTTGAGGGGGCCGTTTAGGGATCTGGGGCAAAAATTGGGGATTGGCCCTGCTTTGAGCAGGGGTTTGGACTAGATGACCTTCTGAGGTCCCTTCCAACCCTGATATTCTACGATTCTAAGTCATGTGCCCCAGCCCCCTAATCATTTTCATTGTCCTGCACTGGACTGTCTCCAATTTGTCCACATCCCTTCTGTAGTGTGGGAACCAAAATTGGACCTTAAGGCAGGTTACAAGAATGATCAACTGTCACTCAGCTACCTTTTCCCTCAGACAGCCTTAAAAAGACAGAGCTTTAATCTTATGCCTTATTTAAGAAGTTTTGGATTTAAAGCCTGCTGTATCTTGTGACTTTCTATTGAACACATTACAGTGGTATCTGGGGGCTTCCTTGGAAAGGATAAGACATTTTCAGAATTGATCTACTGTTCCTGTGACAAATGCTTAATTTAAAATGTTGCAGAAAGACTGGGTATTTAAAATGAAATATTACACATTAGTATTGCTGCCTCTGAATTTCCTTTATATAGAATTCCCCTTTAGTCTCTTTCTTAATCACTGCCTTTGGTGTCAATAAACCTTGTCTTAGGTCTTTTCTACTTGGTGTGGCTGTGTGGTGTGCTGTCCTGGGGGTGTGAATTGTAGAGCTCTTGCGCTTTAAATGCCAATTTGTAAACCCTACTGGTGCAAACTAAAGGATACCTAGTTTGCATTGATGTAGTCCTGTTACAAACAGAAAATTACATTCTTTCCTGGTGCCCCTTTTTTGGGGTGTGTGTGGAGGGGGAGGTGTCACAGCAGGAAATCTAAGTGATTTAAGACTGCATCTTGCTCTAGGGCTTCAGCCAAAAAGTAATAATTGATGTTCTGTGAGATTAACAGGTCAGTTTTAAGACCATTACAAATCACAGCTTTAGAGAATGGGGCAGGGGATGAGGGGTGTTGTCATTTGTCTGGCTGTACTATGTGGTATGTGGTGCTAGTAAGCAATGGAGTTCTAATGTGGTTGTCAGAGAAAATGTTGACCTTTCTTCATAAAATCATTGGGTGCAGAAACGGACAAGTCCTTTTAGGGCAGTTGTCCCTAATGCACAGCCATCCCTTCAGAAAGTCAGGGGGCAAAGCTGGGCCCACAACTGAGAACTTTGCACACGAATTACAATGGTGTCAATTCCTCTTAATTACTTACATCCCAGCTTTTCAAAATAGAATAGCCCTCTGCGTGAATTAATGGGCATTCAGGGCTAAGGCCTCTGCCCGGACTGAAAGCTTCCAGCAATAGCGGAGATGCTCCTTGCTTGCTATTGCAATTGTAGGGTAGCAGCAGCCCTCTGACCATCTGTGTGCTGGGATGCAGAGAACACAGCTCCACAGCACATGAGTGCAGGGGGACCCACATGCTGTTCCCAGCAAGCAGAATCACCTGGCCTCTACTGCATCTAGTGTCTTCAGCAGCCCTTCTTTAGACCACAGGATTTGGCTCTCGAAATAAACAGCATAGGAAAGTTTTGCTCCTACTAGATCAGGCAGCCTGGAGGATTTTGTGTTTAAAACAAACAAACAAACAAAAAACCAATGCCGTTCAAATGAAGACAGATATTAGTGTTTTGTGATCCAGGCTGACAAAACTTCTGATGTCTTTTAATTGCACAGAGAGGGCCAAAACGGCACTCACTAATGTCCATGCAGTTTTATGATTTTTAATGGCTTCTAAGAGGTGCTAAACCGACAGCACTAGAGTTAAAGTGGTACAAAAAAATAAAGTACTTTGCCATCCAGCAGCAACATGGCACTTTTTCACTATTTTCTGAAAAGGAAAACGTTTTGGAGTTTCACCTCCAATCAGCTTCTGCGTTCCATGAAAACAAAAAAGGCAGACTTTAAATACTTTGTGTTAATGACTTTTTGATTACAAGAAGTACAAAAGGCAGCCATTCGGAGACAGCGATAACCAGTGGGCAGAAAGACAGTAAGTCTGCTAGAGCCTAGGAGAAGATGTGTGCATTGTACACATGAACAACACTACTAGTTTTAGGTAAGGTTGCAAAGGAAAAGAGATAGTGTTAAGGAAGAAAAGAGAAATAAAGAAAAAAGGGAAACACATAAGAAAAAGAGAGAGTTATCTCTGGGCCTGATCCAAAGCCCATTGAAGTCAGTAGAAAGACTCCCATTGATTTCAATGGGCTTTGGGTCCAACTCCAGTGTGCCTTTTCTCATACAAGGCAGCCTTGTATGAGAAAATCATGCATACAGCAAAATATAGAGGGGGACACATTTTTCTACAGCTGGCATTGTATCAGATGCCCAATGTTGCAGTATCTTAACTTTATCTACCACTAGGTTTGTTCAGATCCATGTGTTTTTTTTTTTCCTTTGATTTCCTTCCCAGTTCAGTCATAGTATGAAGAATTCTTCAGAACTGTGGAGTATAGTATTTTAAATCCAATTTTTCCCAGGACTTGTTTTTTTTGGAATTGCCTGAGTTCCACAGAATCCTTGGACATATGTTTATAATTTCCCCAATGAAAGACCACTTCCAGTATTCTCCAGAACTGCTTAGATCTAACCCATATACTTGACTCAGTCCAACAGAGACAATATGAAGAGATCTTTCTTATGGATATCAGTTGAACTGACTCATGTGCAGATGCCAGCTTTATGTGAGTGACACTCCACTGCTGATCTTAAAAACTAACAACTTAATTTTTCCACAGAGATTTGGGATGCAGCTTTCTGAGCAACTGGAATTAAACTGGGAGGCATATACTGGTGCCCACCTTTGGGAAAACTCTCAGTGCTGGGCTAGATTCTGAACAGTCCAATAGAGGTGTGCATGTGGAGGGGGAAGAAGACTCAAGAAACTCTCCACTCCCACCACCCTTGTCGCCTCTATGCTGTGGCTAGTGATAATTCTTGCACTGACTGAGTGGGCTGCACTAGATTAGTGCTGACATTGGCCTGTTGAAACGAATTCATCACCATGTGAAACAAATACAACTAGCCTTTCCTACTCCCTCTCCTCCATCCATCTCAGACCCCAAAACAAGAAAAAGGCTACCTGGCCCACTCTCTTTTCAGCTGATGTTTCTTCAGTGGTGGTTGCTGCTTGCAAATCACTGTAGCTTTCTGTAAATGGCAGTAATATTGCTTGATCAGTTTATTTGTAGATGTAAACGTGTCATGAAGTAAAGTGTTTTTTTTTTTTCCTCACTTTCTGGCAGGGTGGGCAAGGAGATCGTGGGGAACCAGGTTATCCAGGAGATCCTGGCCTACGAGGCTCACAGGTAGCAGAAAGAAAGTCTGAGTTATTTTACATGACATGTATGGAGAAAGCATGCCATTAGGTTCAATTTTCTATTTTCCTTTTGGAATATTTTGTTCATACCGATTTCAAATATCCTGGGTGAAATTCTGCCCTGGCATGTTAGCAACGTTATAATTTTTTTAAAACTCCTTTATCCACCAGGTCTAAGAGGACCACAGGGGGTCAGAGGCCCTCCTGGACCATGAGGCATACCAGGCCCTCAGGTTAGTTTTAAAGAATATATCCTTATTTTGCACCTTATGCTTGTCTACTTCTCGACAGTGTGTTTTTTCAAAATTATATTTGGATCTTTATAAATAAGATCTATGTAAGTGGAGGATTTTTTCATTCTAAAGCTTAGTAATGAACATCCAAATGAGAGAGTTACACTAGTCATTGTAGACCTTGATAATATGGTGCCAAAATAATGGACTTGAAAGTAAATGTTGGTTTGTAAATCAGGAGAGAAGAGAAACTTTGTGTTACTGAGCTCTTTCATGGTTACAGTGAAAACGCTTAGGTCCAGATTCTGCTCTCAGTTATACTGGTGTATACTGGAGTAACTCCATTGCTTGCTCTGGGCGTATACCAGTGTAACTAAACCCTTTTAGTTAGTAAGAGATTTCATTTGGGAGTGGCTACAGGGACTTGCCGATGAGATTCAAGCCTGGGATCTGATGAAAGAACAGGGGACAGCATAGATGCTGTGGGCGGAATTCTGTTTTCGCTTACACTGGTGTAACACCATTGACTTCAACAGAATTACTGTGGTGTTACACCAGTGTAACTCAGTCAGGATCTGGACAAATATATCAAGATTTAGGCATAAACTTCAATTGTGTGATGAGACTCTTGCTTTCAGATCCAGTTACTTTGTGTATATATAGTCTCTATGATGCTTTAACAAATAATATCTTAGGAATATTGGAAATCTCAAAGAGTTTACATGGAAAAGAGAAAAGAATTTGCATGGCTGTCTTGCACATCACTATTACTGTGGTTCCTGAAAGCTTTGAGAAATGCCAGTAGATAGGCCAAATGTAATGAATACTTCTAGAGTCATTCCAAGCTCTGGTGAACATTAGCCATTATCTTTTTTCTAATGCATCCTTTAATTTGTGTTTCTGATTGTAGGCTAATCCAGGAGCCCCAGGTGCAGGAGGCTCTCCTGGGAATCCAGGGCCTAGAGGACCACAGGTAAGCATTTTAAGAAGTACATTGTACTTCTGCAGCACCTTTCATTCAATGATATCATTGCACTTTACAAACACAAAACCCCTCTTATATAGGTAAGTATTAGTATAGTTTACATATGGATAAATATGGGCAGCAAAGCTTAGGTCCAGTGTATTTAGGCACTTTAACTCTCTGATTCAATGGGAGTTAGGTACCTAAATATCTTTGAGGATCAGGACCTAAGTGACTTATTCGAGGTTGCCCAATCAGTGGCAGAGCTACAGTAGGATGATACATGTGGAACCTGACTTCCCATTTCTTGTTCTAACTACTAGATGCCTTGGTTCCCATCCTAGATCAATCATCATAGAGTGATCCTGGCCTGGGTCACTCACAAAAAGCTCCTGCATGCTAGGGTGCAGGTGTAACCCATAGATGAGTGTGTTACAGTTCCCCCTCTGCCCAATCTGCAGAGGACATGTGTCCATTACAACCCCAACAAGAAATCCTTGGCTCTTTAGCTCAAGTTGTAGCAGTTTATGGTTTTACAGCTGGAGGTCCTTGGATCAATCCTTTTTGTGTCAAGCAAGACAGTGGCCATCACATTGGAATCCACCAAGCATGCGTACTGTGGGGATGATTAGGTCAAGAGGATGTTAGACGAAAAGGATTGAAATCCACATTTTTAGTCTGATATCACATTAGGAGGTTTGGATTTATGGTTTGTTTCTTTGTAAGACTTTTTAGCCCCTCCTTTCCTTTCATTGAATTACCTGTGGTTATGTCTTTGATATGCAGTCTAAATCTATTAAAGAAAAGCAACAGTATCCTGTATACATGGTGTTTCATCCAAGCATTTCAAAGTACTTTACCAATATTACTTAGCTCAGCCTCCCAACTTCTCTGAAGTAGGTATTGTTAAACTCACTTTTTACAGAGATACACTGCGGTTAAGAGAGTGGGAGTGAGAAGACCAAAGCTGGGAATAGAACCTAGAAATTTTAACTCCCTGTCTCCAGCCTGTAGCCACCAGATAATGCTGCTTCCTACTAGAATAAGTCACCATCTAAGAAGTGCTGTGCCTCAGTCTCCTCAGTCTGGCTTTGTTATTTAGTTGGTGTGGTTCTCACTGGAATAAACTGCGTCATGAGATAGTGGAAAGCATAAGGAATCCAACTCGAACCAAGAACATAGCTAAGAGCATACTTCACAATGACAAGCTGAATCATTCAATTCACTCTGACATCACTTGTGTTTCATGCCAGTAGAGTTCCAGTCAGGTTCCTATTGTGATTGGTATATTTCGCTGGCCTTATTCAGGCAGTACTGCCACTGGTAACAATGGGAGTTTTGCCAGAGTAAGGCCTGTGGGATTTGGCTGCATGTGTGCACACAGCGTTGTCTGACTCGATCTGTGCCTTCCAGTTCCTATGAGAAGAAGCCCCCATAAAAGCTTTGAGTCTGGTCTGCTATTGAACTTTTACTATTTACATCTTTTAATCTGCAGAAAATGCAAGCGCAACTCTTACCCCAGTGACTAACCCCTTTGTACTAAAACCAAAATACTCCCTGGTAAGCCAAATATAAAAAGTGTAATCTCTTTTGTATTTAAATTGTAATAGGGTGAACCTGGAGATCCTGGTGAGACGAGTCTGCTTGGACCCACTGGCCCAAGGGGCATGCCTGTTAGTCTTGCTCTTCCTATTCGGGTTCTCTGTGTTAACTGCTGGGAGTTGTGAGGCCTTGCAGTTCTCATTTTCTTTTTCATTCTATTTTTGTCCATTTAGGATTTTTTAAAATCTTTTTGCTCAGTTTTCAGTCTTCTCACTAATGTCACAGCCTTCTTGGCTGGGTTATGCTGGAGGTCGGGCTAGATGATCATCAGTGGGGTGTTCTGGTCTTAGTGTCTGTGTATCTTTATTTTGTTGCAAGGAAGATACTTGCGCTTTTTCAGCCACCCATCAGACAGAAGTGCAGAACAACTTATTCTCATCTTCAAGCAACTATCTTACAATCATATTTATTTATTTGGTATGGAGTCCAGGCAAATGAATATGCCAGTCAAGATGCAATCTCTGTACTGGACCTATCCTTCTCTCCTTTCAAGACTTCCAGGGAAAAATTCTCCTCTCATTGTGGATTGGAGAGAAGAATTTTGCCCTAGGGAGAGAGAAAATATAAGTGAGGTGCCCTGTAGATTGGAGAGAAGGATATTGGCCTTAGGCTGTATCTTCTCTTGGTGGCTTTTGCCATAGCTGCTAGACTGTGTCTGTGACACCCTCCACTACATAATCAGCCATAGCTTCTAAGGTCCCAAAATCATGAGTGCTCCTTTAGGCCAATGGAGTATTGAATTTACAGCTAATTCTACATTTGAAACTAACCGACAGTATCTTTTCCAACCTGTGCAGGGCCCAGATGGCAATAATGGATATGGTCCTGCAGGAAGCAAAGGAGCAAAGGGGAGATCAAGCAGAGGTCTTTGTCATGGAATGTCACGCCTAATAAGATACCAGTCATTTCTTTGTCGTGACAAAGGAAATTTCGGACACTGTCCAAGTCCCTCCCCAGAATGCGAGAGGCTAATCCCATCCCCAGTTATGTGTACCCGTATATCAGGCTTTCTGAATTTGGAGCTGCAGCAGTGGTAGTTACCTCCACTTCTGGCATAGTGGCTCCTGGGACATCCCCATGTACTTATGCTCAGCAAGGAAGAGCTAGGGACCATCTAGCCCTAAGTTAATATTTATTTACAAAAATAATTAAATAATCTCTTCTAAAAATATAGAAACTATTTACAATAAAAGATCTAAAGTAAGGGCCAGATCCAAAGTTGATAGAATTCTGCGTAGCTCCATTGGAATCAATGGATAACTCCTCTGCACTAGTTGAGGATCAGGTCCACTAATCTGTGAACTTCTCCCCAGATATTTGTATTTAGTAGTTGTTTTTTTGTTTTGTTTTGGGTGTGGAGACAGGAAGGGGGAAATTTGAGCAAAAACAGCTTGTGACACGCTCTCGCTCAATTCCCTTTCCTGAGTACATGGAGAGATAGCAATGATTTGCTAACAAAAAATGTGTAACACATTGCAGGGACCCATTTGAAAAATAATCTGACCATAACATTTTACAACAATACTAATTCAAAATAAATAAAAATCCTATAATATTCATTCCAATCATTATGCATATTTATTGATTGGAATAAACAGAAAACCCTGCATACAACAAAGGATGATAAAAGATTTCTGGACACCATCCAGTGAAAACTGGCTTTAAGAAATAAGAAAGTCTATCAACAGACAATATTATAATAATATTTTCCAAAAATAAATCTGAGGGGAATAGATGAGTGTCAATCTCAGAACTTGCTGCACTGCATCTGCTTTCTTCTCTGTAAATTTTTTCTCTAGTTAATCCCCAACAACTGTTCTACATAAAGGTCATACCAAAAAAAAAAAGAAATAAAAGGAAGGACAAAGGCTGGGAAGGAAGTTTTTGAAAAATATAGAAAGAACCGGCAAGCATACCCATGTTAGCTGTTAATATTGATACACATCACATTCAATGTTAGATAGTGTGTTGTGCACAAACACCACCCTGAATCTTCTCAGTCTTGATCTAAGCATGCATTAATAATTCCTTTTAGTTCCTATGTAAACAAATGGCATACCAGGTGCCATCTTCCTGGTGTCTTTTCTTCTTAGCAAAGTTTCCTAACCCCGCCCCTCCCTCTCCCCTTCCCCCCCTCCGAGTCTTTTCTTTCATTAAGAGAAAGAAAACTCCTTCATAATTTTATGCTAGGCATACTTCAGCTAAATAATTATCTGTTTTTACCAGTCTGCTGCAGTTAGCCTGAGCTTTCTTAAGGCTGATAATGACAGCTCCAATAGAAATTGTTCCCTGGAAGTTCTGAACACATTTCTATTGGTTAAATCACTTAACTCCTTGATAGCTACTTTGGGCTTTGTCTATATGAGCATCTCTCTTGTTGAACTGAAATCTGTTTAAAAAAGATTTAAACTGGTTCAAAACCTTATGTGGACATGCTTATTGCAATTTAGCTTTACTTAGTAATATAGCAACCTGCTTGGAGGGAGGAGCATGGGTTGCAGGAGGGAAGAGTTTGGAGGAGGCACTGGAAGTCAGTTGCTGTGCTCATGGCATGAATTCTAGCTGCCGTTGCAATATCACTGTCAACAGTTCTCTTCATAAAGAGTCAGTGTAGTTTTACAAGCATGGATTCCTTTCATGTTATTACCCAGCATGCTGTACATGAAACAAGGAATAAAGGCATTGCCAGACTGGATCAGACCCAAGGTCCATCTAGTCCAGTGTCCTATCCCTGCCTGTGACCAGCTCCAAATGTTGGGGATTGGTCCTGCTTTGAGCAGGGGGTTGGACTAGATGACCTCCTGAGGTCCCTTCCAACCCTGATATTCTATGATTCTATGAAATGCTCCATAGGAAGGTTTAAGCCAGGGGCTCTCAAACTGGGGATTGGGACCCCTTGGGGGTCACGGAGCTATACATGGGGGATCGTGAGCTGTCAGCATCCACCCCAAATCCTGCTTTGCCTCCAGCATTTATAATGGTATTAAATATATAAAAACGTAATTTATAAGGGGGGATTGCACTCAGAGGCATGCTATGTGAAATGGGTCACCGGTAAAAAAAAAAGTTTCAGAACCACTGGTTTAAACCCTGTAGTAGGCAGAAGTGAGGTAATCTGCCCAAACATCTTATCCTTCTCTCTAAGTGCTAGAGATTAGTTCTGAAGCATGAGGTTTAATATCCCTTGCAAAAATGTTATTAAATATGTTAACTCTGGATATTCTTGTTACCAGTGTAAATATCCAGTCCCTTTTTGAACAGTTCTTGCCCTCAACAACTTCCTGCGGCCATGAGTTCCACAGCAGAAGGGGGAGCCAGGGCTCCATTCACTCCCTAGCCTTTCCCACCATTTGGGAGAGTAAATGGATAGCAATCTGCCTAATCGCTAGGTGAGCTTGGCCAGTTCTGAGCCTTATATGAGCCATACAAGGTTCCTTATTTCCCTTCTCCCTCATGGTGTGCCTGGCCAAAGCTGAGGCAGAATCTAATCCAAAAAAAGTTGGGATCCTCCTAACAACAAAGGGAACACTTAACAACAACAAAGGGATGATTTAAATATAGTCCTCTACAAAGGTTACTATAAATTGTATAGGTTCACTAGCTAACTTACACTTCATTAAATGCAATGTCTTAGGAAAACAAACCTACCATGCAAATGGAAATAAATCATTTGTGGTAGAATCATGTTTGAAGGATCTCTTGGGCAACCCCACATTTTGATGGTTGTGTGAGAACAATCACTGTGTCCCGATTCATAAGAGAGAGCTTCCTAAATCAGACACATGCATGGGACAATCTTACAAAGACACAGAGTGAATTCTGCTAGTTTCTTGGTCAGGAAAGGATGTACTTTAGCTCAACTGGTACTCATGGAAGCTATTACATTTCTTACCTGCAGACAAAAAGCACACAAAAGATTGTGAGATGATTTCCTTTCTTTGAAGTAAACATAAACACGAGAACAACACAACCCTACTTCTGATCTAACCCTTGAATCTGAATGCCCCATTGATTGATATAAGGGAGGGGCCAACACATTGGTACCATTAGGAAACAGCTCCTGGAAAGTGAGATTTGAACCGTATACAATGGTCATATGATCACTAAAATAGAATTCCACTTAATTTCACTAAAAATGAAACAAAAAAATTAATAAAATAGTAATTAGAAGAGAAATAAAAACCATTGGAAATATTTAAATTGCTGTAGCTTTAAATGGGCAGAATGGAATGGTGCCATTTGAGGCTGAAAAATGGCTGCTGTAAATTAAATTGACTGTAACTAAGAAATCTTTAATTTTTTTCTGATTAAAAAATATCTTCAAATAAGGAGCAGTGAAAAGGTTAATAAAGTTTTAAGGTCTGTTTCTTTTTTTCCCCGATACCAGGGAGAATCTGGATTCCCAGGATACCCCGGTCCACAGGTATATAAAATGGATATTTTCTGATTTTGGTATATGTTGCTGTGGACTGTGTGTGTCTATATTTTTGTGTGTGTGTTCTTCACTACAGAGATTCTGGTTTTGATTCACTCGTAGGGAGAAGATGGTGATCCAGGCAGTCAAGGAGATAGAGGGTCCAAAGGAATTAGAAGGAAAAGGGTAAGTATAATAAACACTCTTACTCTTTCTGATAAGTATATGTTAAGGGGGCCTTGAAGAAAGTTTCTAGAGTTTAGTGGCCCCTAGTCATAAAGGGATTGAAAATCAGTCTTATTACTTTATTGCTTCAAGGTCTAAGAGGTATGATGATCTCAATCATTAATGTTCTTCACTGATTTCTATTACTTATGAGGGCTGATCTATACTGTATATTACATCATCTTTATTTAAATTGCAGTAAGCCAGCTCCTCAGCTGGATTTCAATGAAGCTATGGAGATTTTCGTCAGCGATGGATCTGTCCCCCATGTCTGTCCTTATAAACAACAAACTGAAAATTTGACTTGATAACTATTCTTGAGTTTCTATTTTTAGGGAAATGCTGGATTTCCAGGTTCAGAGGGAAATCCAGGGGACCAAGGGCCTCCAGGACCACAGGAGCCACATTTAAAAACTGAATATTAACCTTGGGATTTGGAATTAATGATGCATTTGACAATACTGCTCACAATAAAATGTAGTTCACTAGTCAAGTATGAATAGACAGATGTATCCTGCCCTCAGCTATGCCCAAGAAAACCTGCTGGAGTCCATGGAATGGCATGGGATTAACTGAGGGCAGAATTGTACCTTCCCCAATCTTTTCTCTCCCAGGGAAGATAAAAATTGATTGAAAAAATTTCAAAATTGGATTTTTATTTAACTTAAACACATTTTTATTTTTAAAAACAAATGTGTTTAAAATTAAATGTGAAATTATGACAACTTGTGTTAAGGCCAAAATTTACTATAGTCTATTGAAATTGTTTAAATAAATACATACAATGCTGCATCAATGAGGCCACCTCAAATATTAGAGTGCTGCTTTTTTTAATTATGTACACAATTGGGGGGAATATCATTATTTCAATGGGAGTTAGGCACCTAATTGAGCTCTTTACTGTCTGTAATATTTTATGAATATTATAATCTTTTTAGGTGTCTAGTGGGATTTTTAAAAGTGCCTATCTGCATCTTTAAGCACCTAAATACCTTTGAAAATCTGGTCTGTGATAACCCAAACAATCTGTGAATTCACTGACTAAATTAATACCACCTTTGTGTAATAACTCTATTAGTTTACATGTTTTGATAAATCTACTTCTATTTCTTATGTTCCCAACACATAAGATCGTTTTAGTTAACAAATAAAAATAGTGCTTTTTTGGTATATTTTAAAGTGAATTCCTATTTCCATCTAAATACAGTTTGACACAAATCCCAAGTGAAAAAATGAACCATGTATTAGCCAATAAACATGTTTCAGTGGTTATACCAACTGCTGAGAAGAATAGCTAGCTCTTACATAGCACTTTTCATCGATAGATTTCAAAACACTTTATTAGGAGATAAGCATCATTATCTCCATTTTACAAATGGGGGGTGTGATGGGTTTGGTCACAGAGACCACCTTGGGACTGTTACCTGATGTGCTGAAACTACCTATGAGCCCGTTTTCCCTGTCAGCTTGGAACTCCAGAACCCTGCCTTGTTGAGCCAAGCACACTAGTCTGCTGCAACACAGACCCAGGTTTGGTCCACACCCCCAAAGCTGCAGACTTTAACCAAAAACTGCTCAGCAAGTCACCCATCTCCAGCACCCAGACACCCAGTTCCCAATGGGATCCAAACCCCAAATAAATCCGTTTTACTCTGTATAAAGTTTATACAGGGTAAACTCATAAATTGTCCACCCTCTATACCACTATCCCTCCATTGCGGGGGAGGAATAGCTCAGTGGTTTGTGCATTGGCCTGCTAAATCCAGGGTTGTGAGTTCAACCCTTGAGAGGGCCATTTAGGGATCTGGGGCAAAAATTGGGCATTTGGTCCTGCTTTGAGCAGGGGGTTGGACTAGATGACCTCCTGAGGTCCCTTCTTAACCCTGATATTCTATGAAATCACTGATAAAGAGATATGCAATTCAATAAGGATAAGTGCAGGGTCCTGCACTTAGGATGGAAGAATCCAATGCACCGCTACAGACTAGGGACCGAATGGCTAGGCAGCAGTTCTGCGGAAAAGGACCTAGGGGTGACAGTGGACGAGAAGCTGGATATGAGTCAGCAGTGTGCCCTTGTTGCCAAGAAGGCCAATGGCATTTTGGGATGTATAAGTAGGGGCATAGCGAGCAGATCGAGGGACGTGATCGTTCCCCTCTATTCGACATTGGTGAGGCCTCATCTGGAGTACTGTGTCCAGTTTTGGGCCCCACACTACAAGAAGGATGTGGATAAATTGGAGAGAGTCCAGCGAAGGGCAACAAAAATGATTAGGGGTCTAGAACACATGACTTATGAGGAGAGGCTGAGGGAGCTGGGATTGTTTAGCCTGCAGAAGAGAAGAATGAGGGGGGATTTGATAGCTGCTTTCAACTACCTGAAAGGGGGTTCCAAAGAGGATGGCTCTAGACTGTTCTCAATGGTAGCAGATGACAGAACGAGGAGTAATGGTCTCAAGTTGCAGTGGGGGAGGTTTAGATTGGATATTAGGAAAAACTTTTTCACTAAGAGGGTGGTGAAACACTGGAATGCGTTACCTAGGGAGGTGGTAGAATCTCCTTCCTTAGAGGTTTTTAAGGTCAGGCTTGACAAAGCCCTGGCTGGGATGATTTAACTGGGAATTGGTCCTGCTTCGAGCAGGGGGTTGGACTAGATGACCTTCTGGGGTCCCTTCCAACCCTGATATTCTATGATTCTATGCACAGGTGTTTGCTCCCCCCCCCCCCGGTATTAATCACTTACTCTGGGTTAATTAATAAACAAAAGTGATTTTATTATATATAAAAAGTAGGATTTAAGTGGTTTCAAGTAATAACAGACAGAACAAAGTAAGTTACCAAGCAAAATAAAAGAAAACACGCAAGTCTAAGCCTAATACATTTAAGAAACTGAATACAGGTAAATCTCACCCTCAGAGATGTTCCAATAAGCTTCTTTCACAGAATAGACTCCTTCTTAGTCTTGGCCCAATCCTTTCCCCGGTACAGTTCTTGTTAATTGCAGCTCAGGTGGTAACTAGGGGATTTCTCATAACTGGCAGCCCCCTTTGTTCTGTTCCACCCCCTTTTATAGCTTTGGCACAAGGCGGGAATCTTTTGTCTCTCTGGGTCCCCACCCCTCCTTCTAAATGGAAAAGCACCAGGTTTAAGATGGATTCCAGTACCAGGTGACATGGTCATTTGTCCCTGTGAGGCCCCAAGCCTCCGTTCTTTCTGGCCTGACTTACAGGGACACAGGAAGGCTTACAAGTAAACAGAGCCATTTACAACCAATTGTTCTAGTTAATGGGAGCCATCAAGATCCTAAGCCACCATTAATGGCCCACACTTTGTATAATTACAATAGGACCTCAGAGTAATACTTCATATTTCTAGTTTTAGGTACAAGAATGATAGTCCTACAAATAGAATGAACACACTCAGTAGATTGTAAGCTTTTTAATGATACCTTACAAGAGACCTTTTGCATAAAGCATATTCAGGTTACATCCTGTTCACACTCATAAGCATATTTCCATAAAACATATGGAGTGCAAGTCACAGGCGGGACTGAGACATGGAGGTCACCCAGCAGGACCAGTTGCTGAGCTAAGAATAGAACACAGGTTTCTTGAGTCCTAGTCTAGTGCTCTCGTCACTACCCCACACTGCATCCCTAAAGAAAGAATGAAGTTACTTTAGGAACTAAGAGTTATATCATTCACCATTTAAAAAAATAATGAGAAATGCAAAAATAAAAAATCCGAATAAATGTATGTATCGGTATAATTGCTTAAAAATGTGTGTAGCGATTGTGTATCCTCCTGGTTAGCAAAGAGAAGTACCAAATTTAGTGTAAAGGCTATCCTGAGTTGCAAAGCAACATGTAATGGTTACCAACCAAGTAAATGAACCTTTCTTTAAATACAGTTGCAAACCCAGATTAAAATCAATTATTTAAATTAAGGTTTCCTCCTTGATGATTTTAGATAATGATTAAAACTGGTGACTTAAATCACTTTTATTTCAATCAATACTCCCTGTTTTGTCCTTAAGGGAGTCTTCTGCCTCACACTGGAGCAGGATCCTTGTGGGGAGCCAGGACAGGGGGAACCCTCTATGAAGGAACTGAGCTGCCTGTAATATTTTCCAAATATTATATGTTCCATCCACTAGTTTTATTGTTCCTGAGGTGTTTGCTGTATGATTACTTATGGGTAAATTTAGGCATGGGTTAGTTTGCATGTAGACAGGAAAGTGGGCAAACATTGCTGGTAGCTACACATTCACTGATACTTAGAGACAATACAGGTGATGATCCCTTTAAAGATTACCTCTGACATGCTGGGTTCCACATGCCTGGCTTGACACAGAGGCAGGGGAATTCCATTCAGATGCTGAAACAAAGAACTTTAGAGTGGGTAAAAACATGAGCCCCTGAAAATGAGGAGAAAGAGAGGCAGAGATTGCAGGGCTACAGAATGTCCACCCAGTCCCGGAGGTAGGAGTGTTTGGATATATAGGCCTGCCTGCACTTTAGGTAAGACAGAAGCATGCAGACTGTTCTATTAAACCCTTTTTCTTATTATGCTGTGTTCCTGCAGATAAGATTAAACAATACTTTGTTCTGAAAAGGCTGTTTGGGTCCCTATTTCACACACAAGTCAGAGTTCCTCAAGGGGAGTCTTGCAGGGCAGTAAAATACAGTTGGGCCTGCTGAACAATCAGGATTGGTACACAAGGTGGTATACCCCAGCACCTTGTCTGAGAAGGGGAGAATCGTGGGATTCCACTCCAGAGACAGGAAGGCAAGAGGTCTTGCATACTGAGAGGGGTCGAATGTGCAGATATATCTGAACCGTGACACCCTCTACTAGCAAAAACTTTGGAAACTAATATAATCCTGCATGATGCCACTTTACAGCAGCAGCAAATGCTGAATTTAGGTAACATGCAGGAAAAATTCGTTGGAGAAAGTACGTCAAAGTGACAGTCTTCATCCCAACTGTGCAACAGTCTACAGACATCCGTGTCGGGAAATATTCTGGGCAATCACATTGGAAAGCCATAAATAGTTGTCAAGAAAACAACACGTGCACTAACACAGAAATGCCTGACTTTTTCCTAGGGCCTTTGTCATCATTAAATATATATTAAATACGTTCCTGCTCTTAGTATGAGAGTGATTTTCTAACCCGCTGTTAAATCTCTTCCAGGGCAGCAAAGGACCAAAGGGCACCATAGCCATGGCTGTATGTAATCATCTCATTTCTAAAACCTAAGTGCACGCTGCATGTAGTTAAGTTTCATGTTTTTCCATTTAAGAAGCATTGACTATACAGAGTTTGCTACTAGCCATTGAAGGAAAGCTTCCTTCATGTACTTGTTGCAGTAAAACAATTACAGCCCTGTGTGAAATAAATAACCAAGGACTTAGAAACAATTTTTTAATATGGATTTAAACCAGGCAAAAGTTTTGCAAACAATTAAAACATTAAAACTCTTTTCTCAGTTTTGTGATTTGGACTAGTTTACAGAACCTCAAAAGGGACTTCGGGCTAGACCCTGCCCTCTTATATGGGTGTGCTAGAGTGAGGAAAGAGGGCAAAAGAAGCCTTGACCCAAGCACACACACTTCCAGGGTAAACAGCAAAGTAACTTGGGAGAAGGGAAATGCAAATTTGCCCCTCCCTTTGCATTTCCTTCCCCCAGGTACTGGCTAGGAAATCAACCTCACACATATTATCCCTCAAAGCCCTTTGAAGTTCCTAATACTTTTCAGAGATTGCACTAGTCAGTCTCCTGAAGCAGTTACATACAATTCCACAACAACACATACACAATTACATTTTTAATACAATGGACCCTCAAATTATTAAACTTAAATCAATAATGTTTATCTTAATTCCATAAGCTTTGTCCAGGTTATTGCAGGTCTGTCATATGCCTGCTAGCTAAGGCACATGTCCAACTCAGGCAAGATCACTCAGCAGTCAATAGCATGAGCTAACTAGGGGGCACCTGCTGCTCCTTTTCCAACGTGCAGAAATATGCCCCTCACAGAATAGTGCTCTCCTCATCTTGTAGAATCCTGCCGAGACTATCAGGTTTTCCCCTGGCACCCTCTCCACTCCTCCAGCAGCACTGGCCAGGCCAACTACTGTCCCATGATCTTCTAGATCTTAATGCACAGATACATTACACAAAATGAACTGTTCAGAAAGTATCTACTTCATACATTTGAGAAAGGTTAAGTGTCCAATGAAACGTAGGAAACTTCTACTATAGCGTTAGGGTAAGATCCTGCTTTCAAGTACACCAGTGTATATCCTGAGTAACTGTACAGACTGTAAGGTTGTTACTTTGGATTTATGTAGGATTAAGTGAGCTCAGGACTTGGCACCTGATCCAGTTCCCACGGGAGTCAATGGAAAGAGTCCCATGGATTTTCCCGTGGGAGCTGACTCTGGCTCTTGGCCCTTAACCATCTTTTCATTCCCCCCCCCCCCCACAGCCTTGTGGACTTGTTAAGTTCACACGAGAAAACTGCCGTAAGTACTGGGTTTATTTCTTTTCCCCTGTTGGAATTTGCATAGCCACAGTTTTTAAATGGAAACATAGTGGGCAACTCAATGGCTCAGGGGATGGATCTGAGGCTTTGAGGTCTCTAGGTGGGTGGTATCAGTCTGACACAAGCTGGTAGTGACTGCAAGTTGTTACCTTTGTGGCTATTCAGGAATGTATGAGAAACAAGTCTGTACTCCCCATTTATTTTTTCTGCGTCTGAATCATTCACCATGGCTCACAGTCCTTGTTAATGAGCACCCTTGTTGGCAGACTCAGCACAGGGGCCATGGACTGAAGAGGATGTGGAAAGTGAGTTACCATCTCCCGCATAGAGCTAACCCTTCCAGGTACAGGCTGAGTCACCTTGATGGATAGTTCAGGGAACCTTGCACTGCCTCTGCCTGTGCTGTACCCATCCTGTGGATAAATACAAGGCATTAGCCTCCAGGGTTACCTTGCACTTGCATGTACGATGCTCATTTTAACAATATAAATGAGAGACACACACACAGTCAGTATAGATTTCAGCCCATCCGTTTTACATTTGATAACACTGTCAAACTCATCAGGGAAAAAGTAAAGCTATAGAAACGTATCATTTCAACTACGCCTTTGAAGGAGAAAAAAATATACATAGATTCATAGATATTAAGGTCAGAAGGGACCATTATGATCATCTAGTCTGACCTCCTGCACAATGCAGGCCACAGAATCTCACCCACCCACTCCTGCAAAAAACCTCTCACCTATGTCTGAGCTACTGAAGTCTTCAAATCATGGTTTAAAGACTTCAAGGTACAGAAATTCCTCCAGCAAGTGGCCCATGCCCCATGCTACAGAGAAAGGCGAAAACCCCCCAGGGCCTCTTCCAATCTGCCCTGGAGGAAAATTCCTTCCTGACCCCAAATATGGCGATCAGCTGAACCCTAAGCATGTGGGCAAGATTCACCAGCCAGATACTCAGGAAAGAATTCTCTGTAGTAACTCAGATCCCACCCTATCTAACATCCCATCACAGGCCATTGGGCCTATTTACCATGAATAGTTAAAGATCAATTAATTGCCAAAATCATGTTATCCCATCATACCATCTCCTCCATAAACTTATCGAGTTTAATCTTGAAGCCAGATAGGTCTTTTGCCCCCACTGCTTCCCTTGGAAGGCTGTTCCAGAACTTCACTCCTCTGATGGTTAGAAACCTTCGTCTAATTTCAAGTCTAAACTTCCCAATGGCCAGTTTATATCCATTTGTTCTTGTGTACACATTGGTACTGAGCTTAAATAATTCCTCTCCCTCCCTGGTATTTATACCTCTGACATATTTATAGAGAGCAATCATATCTCTCCTCAGCCTTCTTTTGGTTAGGCTAAACAAGCTAAGCTCCTTGAGTCTCCTTTCATAAGGCAGGTTTTACATTCCTCGGATCATCCTAGTGGCCCTTCTCTGTACCTGTTCCAGTTTGAATTCATCCTTCTTAAACATGGGAGACCAGAACTGCATACAGTATTCCAGGTGAGGTCTTACCAGTGCCTTGTATAATGGTACTAATAGCTCCTTATCCCTACTGGAAATACCTCTCCTGATGCATCCCAAGACTGCATTAGCTTTTTTCACGACCATATCACATTGGCGGCTCATAGTCATCCTGTGGTCAACCGATACTCTTCTTCTCCTCCGTTACTTCTAATTGATGCGTCCCCAGCTTATAACTAAAATTCTTGTTATTAATCCCTAAATGTATGACCTTACACTTCTCACTATTCAATTTCAGCCTATTACTATTACTCCAGTTTACAAGGTCATCCAGATCCTCCTGTATGATATCCCGGTCTCTCTCTAAATTGGCAATACCTCCCAGCTTTGTATCATCCGCAAACTTTATTAGCACACTCCCACTTTTTGTGCCAAGGTCAGTAATAAAAAATTAAATAAGATTGGTCCCAAAACCGATCCCTGAGGAACTCCACTGGTAACCTCCCTCCAGCCTGATAGTTCACCTTTCAGTATGACCCGCTGTAGTCTCCCCTTTAACCAATTCCTTATCCACCTTTCAATTTTCATATTGATCCCCATCTTTTCCAATTTAACTAATAATTCCCCATGTGGCACGGTATCAAACGCCTTACTGAAATCTAGGTAAATTAGATCCACGGCGTTTCCTTTGTCTAAAAAATCTGTTACTTTCTCAAAGAAGACGATCAGGTTGGTTTGGCACAATCTACCTTTTGTAAAAATATGTTGTATTTTGTCCCATTTACCATTGACCTCAATGTCCTTAACTACTTTCTCCTTCAAAATTTTGTCCCAGACCTTGCATACTACAGATGTCAAACTAACAAGCCTGTAGTTACCTAGATCACTTTTTTCCCCTTTCTTAAAAATAGGAACTATGTTAGCAATTCTCCAGTCATATGGTACAACCCCTGAGTTTACAGATTCATTAAAAATTCTTGCTAATGGGCTTGCAATTTCATGTGCCAATTCCTTTAATATTCTTGGATGAAGATTATCTGAGCCCCCCGATTTAGTCCCATTAAGCTGTTCGAGTTTCGCTTCTACCTCAGATATTGTAATATCTACCTCCATATCCTCATTCCCATTTGTCATGCTATCATTATCCCCAAGATCCTCATTAAAGACTGAGGCAAAGTATTTGCTTAGATATTGGGCCATGCCTAGATTATCCTTACCCTCCACTCCATCCTCAGTGTTTAGCAGTCCCACTTCTTCTTTCTTTGTTTTTTTCTTATTTATATGGCTATAGAACCTTTTACTATTGGTTTTAATTCCCTTTGCAAGGTCCAACTCTATTTGACTTTTAGCCTTTCTCACTTTATCCCTACATGTTCTGACCTCAATAAGGTAGCTTTCCTTGCTGATCCCTCCCATCTTCCACTCCCTGTATTCTTTCTGCTTTTTCTTAATCACCTCTCCAAAATGCTTGCTCATCCCGCTTGGTCTACAACTCCTGCTTATGAATTTTTCCCCTTTCTTGGGATGCAGGCTTCCGATAGCTTCTGCAGCTTTGACTTGAAGTAATCCCAGACCCCTCTGCCTTTAGATCCATAAGTTCTTCAGTCCAATCCAATTCCCTAACTAATTTTCTTAATTTTTGAAAGTCAGCCCTTTTGAAATCAAAAACCCTAGTCGCAGATTTATTTTTGTTTATCCTTCCGTTCAGTTTGAACTGAATTAGCTCATGATCACTTGAACCAAGGTTGTTCCCTACAACCATTTCTTCTATGTGGTCCTCACTACTCACCGAAACCAAATTTACAATGACATCCCCTCTTGTCGGTTCAGCAGCTACTTGATGAAGGAATCCATTAGCTATCGCATCTAGGAAAATCTGAGCCCTATTATTATTACTAGCACTCGTCCTCCAGTCTATATCTGGGAAGTTAAAGTTTCACGCAGTTTCCATTAGTATTTACTTCATTAAAAACATTAAAGAGGGCTCTATCCATATCTATATCAGATCCCGGTGGTCTATAGCACACCCCAAGCACTATCTCAGAGGAGGCTCTAGTAGTTTTCTTCCCCAATGTGATTTTTGCCCAGACGGACTCTGTCTTATCCATTCTATCGCTTCTTATTTCTTTACATTCTACCTCATCATTGATATACAATGCTACTCCGCCACCTTTGCCTTTATTTCTGTCTTTCCTGAACAGCACATACCCTTCAATGCATGTAGTCCAGTCATGACTACTATTCCATCATGTTTCTGTTATCCCTATAATATCTGGTTTCACTTCCTGCACCAGTAGCTCTAGTTCCTCCATTTTGTTACCTAGGCTCCTCGCATTGGTGTACAAACATCTTAATTTTTGCTTTTTGGCCTCGCTCACATTCTTTACCCTATTAGGCAGAGACATTCTACAGCCAGTATGACCTATTAGACTGGTATCCACACTGCCCTTCCTCCTTATGTCCATTCTCCTACTCACGGCTGTATCCTTTCTTACTTTGATTTCTTCCCTCTCAATGCTAAAATCCGGTTTGGAAATTACTTGGACATCTCCCAACCATCTCCCCCAAATTCTCTTAATCAGTTGTGCCAGCCTCCATCCTAGAAGACTATTTCCTTCCCTACTCAGGTGAAGTCCATCGCGAGAGAACTGTCCTCTGACCATGAATGCCTCCCAGTGGCCATACATCCCAAAGCCCTCCTTATAGCACCACTGCCTGAGCCATCTGTTGATAGTCATAATCTTGTCACACCTTTGCTGCCCTTCTCTAGGAACAGTCAGAATCCCACTGAAGATCACCTGAGCCTAGATTTCCTTAAGTGTCTTCCCCAGCCTGGCATAGTCTCCCTTGATACATTCCAGCGAGAATCTACCGGTATCATTTGTTCCCACATGAAGGACGATCGGTGGATTCTTTCCCGCTCCTTTTAGGATCCTCTTCAACCTCAGGTCCACATCCCGTATCTTAGCACCTGGAAGACAGCACACCCTTCTCTGGATCAGCTTTGGTTACAGGCCTGTCCATTCTTCTCAGTAAGGAGTCCTCGATCCCATAGACCTGCCTTTTCCTGGTGACAGTGCGATTCTCCAGTCTACCCCCTGTTCCCTCTGGCTGCAAGTTCTTTCCATTCCTATTCTCCATTGTAATCCTCTTCAACCCATCCTGTATCCTCCTGGGGCTCATATTTGTTGTAGTCACCATTGACTCTTCCCCTTTTCCTATAGGACTAGCTGCTCTTCTCTTCTTCCTTGCCCTTCCACCTTCAGTGACCACCTGCTGAGCCCCTTCTTCATTTTCCAACTCTGCAAACCTGTTCTTGAGCTCTATTTCTCCTTCACTAGCCCGTCTTTTCCTCTGCCTGGTTCTCTGTCACATGCTTCCACTGTCCATTTTCTTCACCCAGCAGTCTCCCCTCAGAGTTCTTCAGTCCTGCTTCCATATGCAAGTCTGAGCTTTTCCCTTCAGCTGCCTCATTCTTTGCTCCATAATCCACTCAAACCCCCTTCTAAACTCAACCAGACTTTCCACTTGCATCTCCAATCCTTGGATCTTTTCTTCCATCAGTTCTATTAGATGGCACTTCATGCAGATGAAACTGTTTCCAGGTACCCCCTCCAGGATCATGTACATACCGCAGCTTCCACATCCAGTCATCTTCATTGTGTCTTCCACTACATGATCTCCCTTAATTGGATCCCATTAATATTTCCTTCCTCTTTGTCTCTCTCTCATTTGGGCTAACCTGCTCTCCAAAGCACCTTGCCCAAGTAACTCAACTGGGTACTGAGGAACTCTGTGCTGGAGAGGGGAAAGTACCTTCCTATCACCTGCCCCTCAGCCATGGAGCCCCCACCCTCCTCTGCAATAGAACACCACGCAACCTCCACACCTCTGGGCTCTGGGCCATGTAGGAGGTAAATACCCTAAGCATGGCCTTCTTAAATTCTACTCAGTAGACCTGCAGTTTGACTGATGTAGGGTCCTTTGCACCAGTGGATAGGAGAAGAGAAGGTACAATTTCCCCCTTGATGACAAGCAGATAATATAGATTCTGGAGCTAATTCAAAGGTTCAAGCAGCTTTGAATCAGGCTCTTTATTCAAAGCAAGAGTATCACACAGAATCATAGAAATATAGGGCTGGAAGAGACCTCAAGAAGTCATCAAGTCCAGCCTGCTGTGCTGCAGCAGGACCAAGTAAACCTAGAGCATCCCTGAGCAGCTTGTCCAGTTTGTTTTTAAAAGCTTCCAATGATGGGGGCTCTATGACCTCAGTTGGAAGCCTATTCCAGAGCGTAACTATGCTGATATGTAAAAAGTTTTTCCTAATATCTAACCTAAATCTCCCTTCCTGTAGATTAGGCCCATTACTTGTCCTACCTTCAGTGGACATGGAGAACAATTGATCATGGTTCTCTGTATAACAGCCCTTAACAGATTGGAAGACTGTTCTCAGGTTCCCCTCTCAGTCTTCTTTTCTCAAGACTAACTATGCCCAGTTTTTAAAACTTTTCCTCACAGGGCAGGTTTTCTAAGCTTTTTATCATTTTTGTTGCTCTTCTCTGGGCTCTTTCCAATTTGTCCACATCTTTCTCAGCTAAATTGTGGCACCCGGAATTGGACACAGTACTCCAGCTGGGGCCTCAGCAGTGCCAAATAAAGCGGGACAATTACCTCCTGTGTCTTACATACAACACTCCTGTTAATACATTACAGAATCATATTAGTCTTTTTGCAGCTGTGTCACGTTGATGACACATTCATAGATTCATAGATATTTAGGTCAGAAGGGACCATTATGATCATCTAGTCTGACCTCCTGCACAAGGCAGGCCACAGTCTGTAGTCCACTGTAACCCCCAGGTTCCTCTCCAGCAGTACTACCATCTCGATATTTACTCCCCATTTTGTAGCTGTGCATTTGATTTCCCCCCCTAACTGTAGTACTTTGCACTTGTCTTTATTGAATTTCATCTTGCTGATTTCATACTAACTCTCTAATTTGTCAAGGTCATTTTGAATTTTAAACCTGTCCTCCAAAGTGCTTGCAGCCCCTTCCAGCCTGTTGTCATGTACAAATTTTATAAGCGTACACTCTACTCCATTATTCCAAGTCAATAATGAAAATATTAAATAGCTCTGGACTGACCCTTGCAGGATGCCTAGATATGTCCTCCCAAAGTGACAGCAAACCACTGATAACTATTCTTTGAGTTTGGTCCTTCAACCAGTTGTGCACCCACCGTATAGTAATTTCATGCCACTGTATGAATGGATACAATCTAATCAAGGTAACTGTAAAATAAAATAATTCTCTTTTTTTTTCTCTCCCGTCGCTCCCTTCTAGCTTGCTTATCAGGTAAATAGCTCTATACTCTTTCTTCCTTAGACTGTAGAAACAATGACAACATTGGTTTATGGATACCCTTTCACACAGTATGTTTATTTCAAGGTGTCACGGAGTCCCTGGGCGATGCTCTGGAACTGCTCCCCATGAAGCCAGTCAGGACTCTGGGGCAGTCGCCTTTCTGTGAGCAGCCTGTCTTCAGGACACGCAGCTCACACAGCTTCCACCTTCCTGGGTCTGACCTCGGAGCATTCAGCATCCTCTGCCCCTCCGTGCGCTTCCCACAGCGAGTCCGCTCAGGCGGGGCTCCTGGGGAAGCCAGAGGGTCCTGCACCCCAACTTCGCAGTCAGACGTGACTCTCAGCCAGCCAGTAAAACAGAAGGTTTATTAGACGACAGGAACATGGTCTAAAACAGAGCTTGCAGGTGCAGAGAACGGGACCCCTCAGCTGGGTCCATTTTGGGGGGCAGTGAGCCAGACAACCACGTCTGCACTTCACTCCATGTCCCAGCCAGCCCCAAACTGAAAAACCCCCTCCAGCCCCTCCTCCCCGGGCTTTGTTCCTTTCCCGGGCCAGGTGGTCACCTGATTCCTTTGTTCTCCAACCCTTTAGCTCTCACCTTGCAGGGGGGGAAGGGCCCAGGCCATCAGTTGCCAGGAAACAGGGTGTTGGCCATTCTCTGTGTCCAGACTCCTGCACACACATGCCCTCTAGGGCTCTGCAATGATCATACACCCTTACTCCACCCCCTAGATACTTAAGAACTGCCTAGGGGAAACTGAGGCACCCCCACACTATTCAGAGGAAACATTAAGAACAGTCCCACTTCGTCACACAAGGTACAGCCAAATGTCCAGTATATCCAACTGAATTGGCGTTTGCCCTCGATATGTCTGAAGATGTTACCCCAGCAGCATTTGAAAGAATGAGGGATATTGTGATCTCTTTGCTGCGGGTCATCAAGCTCAGCGAAAGCAACTGTCCGACTGGTGCCCGCATCTCCATAGTTTCATACAATACCAACACAAGGTACCTCATCCGATTCTCGGAATTCCAGAGGAATGACTTGCTGCTGGAAGCAGTCCAGAGAATACCGCTGGAGAGGTCCTCGGGCAGACGCAATATTGGAATGGCCATGAGATTCATTGCAAGGAATGTGTTCAAGCAGGTTCGTCAGGGTGTTCTCATAAGAAAAGTTGCCATATTTTTCACCAGTGGCCCATCACAGGATGCTACCTCCATCAACACAGCAGTGCTGGAGTTTGGTGCCCTGGATATCACTCCTGTTGTGATTGCCTTCAGTGAAGTCCCTAATATCAGACGTGCCTTCTCGGTAAGCTGGCTGCCTACAGCAAATGGGAAATCTCAGTGAGAAGTGATCATCCTTTTGATTAACAGTTACTTTGCTAATTTATGAGAATATTTATGCACTCAAGTTAATAACTTATAAAAGGAAGGTTTAGATCAGGGGTTCTCAAACTTCATTGCACCGCTTGGGTCCCGAGCCCCAGCAAGTCTAAGCCAGCCATGGTGACCCCATTAAAATGGGGTCCTGACCCACTTTGGAGTCCCGATCCACAGTTTGAGAACCTCTGGTTTAGATCATAACAGCTTTTAAGAAGGGAATATTTTAGTGACATCTGAATTAAAATTAATCCTGATTTATTTCATGACCATGAATAACAAACAACTGACTCACTTCTGTTATTGTCTGTCCTGGTGTAAATCCAGATTACACCAGGCTCATTTCACTTGCTGTGTCATAGAATGTTCCATTCTAACATTGACAATTGCTAAGCATTTGTCAGGGAACACATACAGCCTGGTTTACGTACAAACCTGGGGCCATATTTTCTGGAGAATTCAAATGCAGACAAACCACTCTATTTTCCCCAAAGAAAACTGAATTCAGTGAAACATTTTAATAAATGCATTGCCATTAGCTAAAACAAAGACGAAAGCTTTTGTCTTAAAATATGATTTTAAACTGAAGCACAGTAAATAGAAAAATAACTATTGCATACCATATGCTACCAAACCTTAAAGGAAACATTTCAGGGGTTGTTTAAAGTTTTTGGTTCTGCTCTGCAAAGAAACCCTCCACAAATGGTACCATAGGTTCCGTATTCCTTATCTGTGAATTATTTCTATATCAACTGTGCTCAGTTTTAAGTTAAATAAAAATATTTTTTCTTGTTGCCAGCCCTTCAGATCAACCTAAGATGCAAGCTGAGTTCTCTCCTCCTTCTGTATCATCAGCAATAGCAGGCTTTGAGGCTAAATGCTGCCTTAGCTACTGTCACAGTTTCAGGGTAACTGCACTTCTATCCCCACCTCTGTGGTCAACTCCAGAAGTGCCAAGTTGGGTCACAGCTCTCCAGCCATCACTTTTCTCTGGGCAGGAAGCCTTGACCCATTCCCTTCTGAAGTTCTGACCAGGGGGTTTTAAAGCTGCACAGCTCCCTGCCACATACTGTTATATCCCCAGCAAGCCAATCTGCCTAATGGACAGTGCCTGCCTGTGTGTTGCTTTCTCTTCTAGGGCTATGAACAGTGTATTGCCAGCAGTTACAAGTTACCACCCAGCTCTTTCTATTTATTTTAAAGGTAAAAGCATTCCCAAAACATATTAAAAACAAATTAAACAGATTTAAGCACACACTAACCATACCAGCAGTCCCCCACCAGTCTTATGGGGCCCTACTAGGCCAAAGTCTCAAACTCAAAGGCCAGAAGGGAACCAAGATCATCTAGTCTGATCTTCTGCACATTGCAGGCCACAGAACCCCATCCACACATTCCTGTAGTAGGGGACCCATAACCTCTAATTGGGTTACTGAAGTCTTCAGATCATGCTTTCAAGACTTGATTTAAAGTTACAGAGAATCCACTATTTATTTATTCTTGTTCAAACCAGTAAATGACCCTGTGCCCCAACCTGCAGAGGAAGGTAAAAAAAAAACAACAGAGTCTCTGATCTGGGGAAAAATTCCTTCCCAATCCCAAACATGGCAATCAGTTAGATCCGGAGCAACTCAGGAAGACCCACCAGCCAGACACCTGGAAAAGAATTCTCTGTAGTAACTCAGAGTCCCCCCATCTAGTGTCCGATTGCCAGTTTTTGGAGATATTCGCTAATAGCAGTCGTGGATATGCCATTGTAGGCAATCTCATCATACCATTCCCGTCCATAAATTTATCAAGCTCAGTCTTTAAACAAGTTAGGTTTTTTTGCCACCACTACTCTCCTTGGAAGGCTGTTCCCAAACTCCACTCCTTGGATGATTAGAAACCTTCATCTAATTTCAAGCTTAAACTTATTGATGGCCAGTTTATATCCATTTGTTCTTGTGCCAACATTGGCCCTTAACTTAAATAACTCCTCTTTCTTCCTGGTGTTTATCCTTCTGATGTATTTATAAAGAGCAATCATATCTCCCCTCAGCTTTTGTATTTGTTAGGCTAAACAAGCCAACCTCTGTAAGTCTTGTAAGCTAGGTTCTCCATTCCTCTGATCATCCTAGTAGCCAGTCTCTGCACCTGTTCCAATTTGAATTAATCTTTCTTAAACAAGGGAGACCAGAATTGCACGCAGTGTTCCAGATGACATCTTACCAGTACCCTGTATAATGGTAATAACACTTTCCTATCTCTACTGGAAATTTCTTGCCTCATGAATCCTAGATTTGCATTAGCTTTTTTCATGGCCTCATCATGTTGGCGGTTCATAGTTATCATGTGATCGACCTATACACCCAGGTCTTTCCACGCCTCTGTTGCTTCCAGCTGATACATCCCTAGTTTATAGCAAAAACTCTTGTTAGTCCTTAAAGCTATGACACTGCACTTAGTACTATTAAATTTCATCCCATTTCCATTACTCCAGTTTTCAAGGTTGTCCAAATCTTCTTGTATGGTATTCCGGTCCTCCTCTATATTGGGAATACCTCCAACTTTGTGTCAGCTGCAGATTTTATTAGCATACTCCCACTTTTTGTGCCAAGGTCATTAATGAAAATATTAAATAAGAGTGGTCCTTGAGGAACTGCATTAGTAACCTTCCTCCAGTTTGCCAGTTCACCTTTCAGTGTGACCCTCTGTAGTCTCCCCTTTAACCAGTTCCTTACCCACCTTTCAATTCTCTTATTCATCCCCCTCTTCTCCAATATAACTAATAATTTCCCATGTGGACCTGTATCAAATGCTTTACTGAAATCCAGGTATATTAGATCTACTGCATTTCCTTTTTTAAAAAAATTGGTTGTCTTCTCAAAGAAAGATCAGGTCAGTCTGGCATGATCTACCTTTTGTAAAACCATGTTGTATTTTATCCCAGTGACCATTTATCTCAATATCCTTAACTACTCTCTCTTTCAAAATTTGTTTTAAGATCTTTGTTTCATTTGTGGTCAAACTAACGGGCCTGCAGTTTCCCAGATCTTTTATTTCTTTCTTAAATATAGGTACTTGATATGTACAATTCTCCTTTCCTAGGTTACAACCCCTGAGTCCACAGATTCATGAAAACCACTCACTATTGGGCTTGCAATTTCATGTGCCAGTTCCTTTAATATTCTTGGATAAAGATTATCCAGGCCCCCTGATTTCATCCCATTAAAATGTTTGAGTCTGGCTTCTACCTTGGATTTGGTAGTTTCTACTTCCATATCCTTGTTCCCATTAGCCACCCTGCTACTGCTCCCAACCTCCTCATTACCCTTATTAAAAACTGAGGCAAAGCATTCATTTAGGTGTTAGCCCATACCTAGATTATCTTTAATCTCCACCTCAACCTCAATGCTTAGTGGTTCCACTTTTTCTTTCCTTGTTTTCTTCTTATGTTTATGGCTAAAGAAAATGGACCAAATTCTCCAATTGCACCAGTGCAACCCTTGAAAGGAGAATTAGGCCTTGTGTCTTTATCAGTGTTCTTTTATATTACATGGATATACAAAAAATAAACAGGATAACCTGAGATTTGTTTCTAGTCTATAGATTCCCAGTACTGGCTTGAGTATTGTGACTATGAAATCACTCTGGCCCCAACTTGGAGAGGTGCAGAGTGAAACAACCAATTAGTGCTCAGGTACCAGAGTAATACATGTAGTATAAGAACCTGAATAGAATAAATAATCTATTTGCAGTAATTAGAAAATAACGTTAACCAGGGCTCCTCATTCTCTTTCCTCTCAACGAGAATGTATAGGGCCAAATCTTGCATTCTTTACTCAAGCAAAAGTCCCACTGGTGTCATAAATACAGATTCAAAACAAAATTGATAAATAACATATAGATTCAAAATAAGACTGTAGGGTTTATCCCAGTGTTGCCTCAATTTATGCAAGGGGGGAAAAAAACCCAGAAGCACAGATATCTACCTTCTGGCATAAGCAGCTTGTGTACCCAAGCACTGCAGGTGAAGTTAACAGCATCAGATAACTGCAGTAACAAAAATCTCATAATGAACACCACGTTACATGTATTCACAGTACATTTTAAGAGGCAGTCCTTATTACCACCAGTGCCACAAGGAATTTTGCCATTAAGAAGTTAAGGATCAGATTCTGTTTTCCATTATTAAACACAGCTAATCTGCCTGTTGTGTAGCAATATATTAAAATCAACGGGATGAGTAAAAGGCGTATGTCTGACCACCACAGTGGAAGGTCACACTGGCAAGCTAAAGAAACACATTTCAGGACCATATATTTTATTCTTGCTGTAACAAATGCTTTCCAAGGGCAAGACTATATGGAACTGTAATCCAAACAAAACAAGACTAGTGTGAAGCCTCAGATTTACTTTAATTTATTGTCTACATTTCAGTCTTGTTTATTCCCCGGGTTCCAAATTCAAGAAATGTCAGGAACCCTCCAGGCAAGAAAATGAAAGTTCAAACCAGAGGCGACTGGTAACTGCTGAATGTGGGGGGCAGGGAGGGCACAATTTAAAGGTGCTGATGGTATGTAGCAGCGTTTAGGGCAAGTACTCAAGAGACAAAGAAACCTTTGATTTCTAGAGCTACTTTTGATGTCATGTTTTACGATACTATGTAATAGCACATGGAGACTGTTCTAAAAGAGAGCTACACATGAAAAAGCTCTCGATTGCACTGATGTATTTTATCAGTTGGAAGCAGTGGTTCTCAACCAGGGATACACATACCCCTGGGTGGATGTACAGGTCTTCTGTAGGGTAGACCATCTAGATATTTGCCTAGTTTTACAACAGGCTCCATAAAAAGCACTAGCAAAGTTAGTACAAACTGTAATTTCATACAGACATTGATGTGTTTACACTGCTCTATATACTAGATCAGTATTTCTCAGTCTG